TACTACCTACTACTACCTACTACCTACTACTACCTACTACCTACTACCTACTACTACCTACTACCTACCTACTACCTACTACCGTCGACGACTACGACTACGATGGCTCCCTGAGCCGATAATTCAGGGGGAGTGGACCTCATGAGTGGTATCTCATACCTTCTTGACCTTGTTGACCTTCTATGTGGGGGGGGCTGATTAATCCGGGGTTGACATTATCTGCAATGCCCTTCAGGACTGCGCAAACTTTGTTGTGACCACTCTAAGCTTTCTCTGCAACAGATTCGTTGTCGGAACTGCAGATTGGGAATCTGACCCTCAACGCTCAACCACAATGTCTTCCGCCCCTAGTAGCTTCTTGTTACTAGCTGCTGATTAAGAGATAGTTCCTGAAGCTTCAAGAACCTGCTGGGCTCAGCTTGGAAACAGGTGGCAGCCTAGCAAAGTGGCGAGCAGGACATTGTGACTATCTGCCCAAGCTTCTGGCATAATTGATTTGGTTCCTAGGTTTTTGGGGAACCTACAGTAACTGTGTTTCGGAGGTTTGTGATGGGCCAGGTGGGGGGACGTAGGCCCTTGAGATCTTGCTTTGGTGGTGGTTATGATGGTGATGTTGGTGTCTGTTGACGGGGTTTGTCGAGTGCACATGTGTCGCAAAAGTTTGAGAGCCCGTGGGAAAGCCCTGCGAACCGCACAATATCAAAACAGGTGGGTATCTGTTCTGCTCACTTGTGTGCTTTTTGAACTACTTGCTCATGTCTACTCTTCTTGATGAGTAGCTACAGCAGTCTCGACCCAACTTTATCCTTATACGTCCCCATCATTCGGTGTTTGTCATGCGTGTGTGCGTGCTTTCTAGAGATTTCAGCACTTGGGTCTGAACCCAAGACTCTGGATTATTTTTGTTCATTTTTTGCTGTTTGAAAGGTCACGACTGGGCAGCAGTACCTTGAACTTATAGAATTTATGAACACAGGAACAGTCCAAACCAGGTTGCCACGCCTGGAACATTCGAGAAACAAGTTGTACACAAACAGTTTTCTTCCTGACCGTTCATGGTAGGCAGGCCAGATACTTGGAAGCGACCTTGGGTGGAAGGGCCATTTCACAAACTTCCTTTCCCTCAGCTGACTGTGTCGCTTGTTCTTCCGCAGCACTTCAACATCCCCTTCCTTCTGTCTCTTTGGAGCTTATTTGTGACATTTCGTGCCATTTCACATCCACAGTTACTCGCAATTCTGTTGTTTACATTGGGATTTGTGGAAGCGTTCGCCCAGGTCCGGACTTGGGTGAACTCCTTCTGAGTGGTATGTGGCATAGCTCTAACTCTTGTGTATGTAAGATACCCTCTCATGCGCAAACCTTGCGATTTTGATGTGGAAAAGAGCTGATACAAGCACCAGCGGAGAAATCTTCCCAAGATCTAAATCCAAGAACTGTTGTAACGTTCGTAGATATTCACAAGTACCCATGCACTCAAAGGATTGCAAAACAACGGCGTAACAGTTTTGAGCACACACCCGTACCCTCCAGGACAACGGGCCCCACGAGCTCAACCACGGGAAGTATGGGTATGGGAAGAAACTTATACAAGTGCGTTTAACAAAGGAACACCGGCCATGAGAGCCATTCCATGTGCCCATCGTTGACAAAACTTGGAGGTTGTCAAGCATTTCCGTCATCGCAAGCAAATCGCTCAACTACAAAACATTTTCGGCTTGGCACATGGTGAGCCTGCTGTTCTCCTGCGCGCTGCCGCAGCAAACTCTTTTCCATCGCATTGAGAAATGGATGAACCGAAGCTTTGCTATGACATTGTCAGAAAATGATCCCAGGCAATATGTTGGTGATATCTCGACCTGTCGCAAGCACAGAAACATGGTTTCGAGCTCATGGGCAGTCAACTGGTTGAACTAACTCCGCATCTTTGTAAGAACAAAATCATGTCTGGCAATTTTCCACTTACGCTCGGAACGTATTGTGCCTTTGGCCCGGTCTGTTCCAGAAACCAAGCATGCTAGGCATCGACAAGGAGAAGACTTCCTCACCAATGGACAATAGCACTGGTACAAAGTTCCATGCAAACATGGACAGCAACGCTGGAAACAACGAAGGGCTCATCATTGCATTCGCGCTGGGCTTCGTATTTCTCAGGCTGGTTGAACTCGTTGCGAACCTGAGCACAAATAACCGTCTCACCCCGAAAATAGAAAATGTCACATGCTGGTGCTGGGTAGAGCAGTGCCAAAGCTGGCAAATAGACAAGAAACATATTGCGCATCATCTCCCTCTGTGCCTCCTTCCTGAGTTGTCATACCTGACAAGCGGACTCGCTCCGCGCAACATGCTAAACATGTACCATTGTCTTTAAAAATAAAAAACATGCCACATGCCCTGATGAACACACACACACACACATTTCATGGACACTCTCCCTGTCTGACCACCTGGCCTAGGTGGATGCACTCCAATCGCTCCGAGGAGCGAATGCAATCGCTGCTGCAGGACTCGGAATGGGTGTTTGCTTTCCTACTTTAGGACCTTTAGTTTAGGGCCTTTAGGCCAAACCTAAGAGCGATGGCCTCCACCCTAGTAGCGATGGCCTCCAACCTAATAGCTATGGCCCCCAGCCGGACCTTTAGGACCATTAGTGTCCATTTTCGGCGTTTCCTTCTTGAAGCTTCAGACTGGTCATTGCGTCAACGGCGAAGGCATGACTTGAACAACCCAACTTCAGCCGAGCATCGCCAGGACACTGCCCCTTCTTTGGGCTCGTAAGTTCCTCCTACAAGATTTCCGGCCAAGACTACAGAAAACATGGCAACTCCCGAGTGTGAAGGGAAACAATGGCTCATAATGGCTCCAAGCACGGTGGGCAAAACCTTGCAAAACTACCCAAGTTCGTAGTTGCCACTTCCGGTGCAACTACTTAAGTTCAATCACACGCTTAAAGTTCATTCTTTTCAAGTGCAATTGCTTGGAGTTCGTTTCTTGTTATTCTCGGAGCAACTGCCAGTGCTGCAAGCTTTGCACGTCGAAACCATCAGTTGGTCAATGGACATGAATGTTGCGCCTCTTGATGATCTACATGCAAACAGCGTTCATCTGCTCCCATACAAGCGTGGGTGCCACACCTCAACGCTAGCTGTTGCTCGTTGTTACGACCGTCTTGTTTTTCGTTGTTCTCTGAACATGGCACAGCCGCACCGCATAGGGATTTTGGAACATTCCTGGCGAATGCCTGGGCATCCTGTCCAATTTGCAAACATACTCCAAACCAACAACATAGATGACATAGATTTTTAACATTTTTGAACCACCACCAACTCTCTCATAACCATTCCTCTTTGCAATTTGTCGGTCCAAGACACATCCCATGATGCTGGTTTATGAGTTCCGAGAAGGGCATCGCACTGACATCTTCACCTTGACCACTGGCACGTCAGCCTCTCTCCCTCTGTCACACACACACACACGCCCACCACTTTACGTTTACGACATGAACTGAACTCGCAAATTTTATGCCTAACGAATCATGGGCAGTTCTTTTGCCCACAATGTTGCGCAAAACAGGCAATTCGTGCAGCGGCATGTGAATGCACAAACCACGAGGTTTTCTCTGTTGGACTCCATGGCCATCACGCACACCATACTATGCATATTGGTACCCGGTTCGTCTTAGGTCTTTGCCAGCATTTTCCGAGACTCTTCATACGGATTCGCTGCTTACAGCTCCACACTTTATGTCTTCCATGCTTGCGAAGTTCAGGTTGGGTGTTTCGATTGAGCTAGGGTTCTTGCTCAATCCAAATCAATCCTGCAAATTAACATTCTTATGATTCTTATATGATTCTTATGCTGGCCAGGTTCTATATGGACGCCACTGACTTGATCCTTTCTTACTCCCCGATGCTAATGCAACTTGCATTGTTCTGCAAAAACGCTTCGCACAGCTCCACTTTCTTTTCGATGCTGGTGCTTGGACAAGGAGAAGAACATGTTCTGCTTCCGGTGCTGAATGTTCTGGGGTTGTTTACGTGATATCAGGTTGCCAGGCAGTTTGCAAATTCAGCAGTTGTCACGTCATGATTTGCCCCTTCTTTCCGCTGTTGAAGTTTCCGGTTCACGTTGCTTTTAATTTTTAAGTTTCACGTTTAGAACCCTGCCACCTTGCCTCTTGACTACGCTTACATTGGCCCATTTTTCTTTCAAGAGTGTAGAATCATGGCTTAGTTGTATGTTGCATGGCTGGATTGATGAGGAACATGATCCATGTAGTACTATAGGTCAAATTTGTAGCTTGCCCCTCGTAGGGTAGGACTCTTTGAACTACTCTGCCCAAGCATGCCCAGTTGCAAAGCATTTTCTTGCCATCGTTGATCATGCCTGCGGCTGAGCAAATTTGGATATGCTTACAGTATCTTGCACATGACTTCGCGTGGTGCCAAGTTGCAGCATTTGTGCCACCTAAATGAGCACCACAAATCAAAGAGAGAACACATTATCAAACCAGTTCAAAGGAACTAATTACTGTACATCCACCACCCCACTGTGTCTTCGCGCTTGTCTACTTGCGACCGGGGAACTCCTCAGAAGGGAAGGACAAGCTGTCCAGTCGCCCTCTCTTCATGAACCCATAGCGGTCTCGACTTCCAGTCATCTGAATCCAAGGACATGAGTGACATGAGGCATCATGAATTTCATCATGAATCATGAAGCACATCATGAGAACCAGCCGGTGGCAAACGGTTCATGATGCCCTCATGTTGCAACATCTTGAGACTCGTGCTCAGCTTCAGCAAGCTGATGCGACTAAAACATTCACGATTCGAGACACCTTACGAGAAAGCCACCATCAACGAGGGGTGGGATCATCGGGAACCATATCACAGGATGAAAACATGTATATACTCTTGTTGCCTTGAAGCGTGGCTCAGAAGTCTTACAGCTGTCCAAGTGCAAAGGAAGCGTCAATGTACTTTGGATTCTCACACGCACCAGGTGGAGGCAAACGGTCGACCTTCTCCGCATTCCTGTTCACAAGGGCCACCAGCAAAGTGTCCCAAGTCCCAGGAATGCTTCTAGACCGAAATGTCAGACACTGAACATCTTTGGATCCTCAAGGATGGCCATCGTGAGAAGAAATCAAGTAATTTTCACACGAGAGATCATAGACTTCAATTCCAAGTCTCTCCCACAAGCTGCGCCTCAAGCCAGGCCAAAACAAAGTGACTCTAGTGATCAGCACTCAAGAAGATGCACTTTGCCACTGTTGTGACGAATTGAGCTTTGCAAGCCGATGCCATCTAAGTGCAACAAGTCGCATGTCAGAGCAAGCTGAGGACTCGCCGCAGAATCGGTCTGGCCACCAACATCTGCGAACCAGGCCTTAGACCAAACGGGCTCTCGCTCTCAGCTCTCACGGGCTCTCACGTTTGCTCACGCCGGTTCCTTAGCCTTTCAACAAGGTACTGGTTTCAAGGCCATGGTTCAGCAGACTTTGTGCTACCATGGGCCTGCACAAGGCATGAAGAGAAGATGAAGAGAAGGGCGAGCAAGTGTAGGAAGTGACAAACTGAAATACTCATGAGCTCAGGTTCAATTCATAGCGTTGCTACAGTGCTACTAGCGTGTTTTAAGAGTTCAAGTAGTAGTGCTTTTTGGAGAGCGGCGTCTGCCAAGCGGACAAAACTGACAGCGCACCAGTGGAGAATGCAAAAACCGTTTCCCTTTCCGACTCGGACATCACAAGTTAGGAACAAGAAGCTACTAGGGGCTCCTGGCCTTACTACTAGTAACAAGAAGCTACTAGGCTAGGAACAAAGGGCATCGCTACTAGGAACAATAATTCCCGGTGTGTCTGAAAGGAGGCCGCGCTGGGCCTCACCAGTTCAACAACCCCTTTCGAAAGTTGGAAACAGCTGCAGGCGTGAACATGTGGTGAAGCTGCAGGCGTGTTCCTTTGTTGTATGTGGAGAGGATTTGGTCAATTTGGAAAACACGACTTCAACGAATCTAAATCTAAATGCTTCTCACGCGCACAGTTCATCTGGTCGTTCCAAGGGAGCTCACATTTTCTACCCAAACGTAGTTTAGTCTGCACTTGCCCGCACTCAGCATTTTGAGTCGATGTCCCTGCAAAAAGCAAGCTGGGAACTTGCACCAAGAACCAACTTTCACTTGGCTGGTCTCGGCGAAAGCAGAAGCTGCCGATTGACAAAAATAACGTGCCTCACATATCATGGAGGCATTGACCTGGGCATGTGACCACCCCACCAAAGCATATTCGTACTGCACTTGTGCTCACTTGGATAAGCTACTTCAGCCGAGCAGCGCGCAACGCGTTTGCTGCGTTTGCTTAATGAAGCTATATCTGGATCCAGGAAGGTCCTTGGCTTCGTGTGCAACGGGAAGCGCAGGAATATACACAACGGCTTCACGTGGGCTTGTGGACACAACATCAAACAGCACATAACAGCACCCAGCATTTACCTATTCAGAAGTGAACGTGTTCCCTTTTCAACATCTGGTCTAGGAGCACAAAAGAATTTAGTGCTACCTTTTTCATTTATCAAAGTCCTACAGTGGTTGCGCAGGCCTCTGAGTTTCTGATGCTTTGCTTACAGCACTGTAGGGCCCTGAGTGTTACTATTTGCCACACTTTGAGCATCTGATTCTCTGACTTGCTAGTATTTGCGGAATCCAATTTGCTGGCACTTGTGCCGCTTTGAGCATGTGAGGCTGTGACCTGCGGGTTTGGCATGGCCCTGAAAAATAGTCCAAACAGGAGCTTGTCTGATAGGTTTTGATCTCCAAAGGTTGGAAGGTAAGGTCATCTACAGTTGGAGTCCGACTGCCAGGTATAATTTATCCTGACATCCCAGCATAGGTGTTATGTGTTCAAAAATTGGTGATGCAATTTAGGAGTGTTGTTGCTGCGGCTATTTCGATTTTGGCTGGCCTTGGCCTTGGTGTGGAAGAAGCCATGAAGAACACACACGAGAAAGTCTCATTGCCAATCGTTCAAGCACTCGCAAAGGGCTTGTTCACAAAACATACAGGATAAATGCAGCAAGTATGTGCAAGAGGTTGGAGGCCATTGCTATTAGGAGCAAGGACACTACTAGGGGCTCCTGGCCTTACTACTACGGAGCAAGAAGCTACTAGGAGCAAAGGGCATCGCTACTAGGAGCAAGGACGCTACTAGGTTGGAGGCCATTGCTGTTAAATGACCGAGGCTATTAGGTTGCCATGAGCGAACAACCAGGTTGAGCGACATGACGTCAGAGGACCCGCGAGGAACAGGAGACCGAGAAGCAACGAGAGAACAAGGGGACAACCATACCAAAGAACAAAAAAATACTCTGTATATCTCTGTATGGTAGGGTCACTGTGGTCATTGTTCAGTTCAATCCAAGATCTTTTGAGTTGTATGTACCTATATATATAGAGAGTTGTTTCTGGGATCGGGCGTCTCTTATTGCATTGCGGTTGATAGTCGGGTCGGTTTTATCACTCCCGTTGATGTTGCCATTCTGGCTCCACTGAGCTTAGGTGCATTCATTGTTGAAAGCAGTGCAGGACCATGTAGCACCTCATAGCACCTCTAAAACATGCAGTTCTAGATTTCATCGCTATTAGGTTGGAGGCCATCGCTTTTAGTTTGGAGGGCATTGCTATTTGTTAACAAAAGAGGCTATATGTAGCACCTCTGAACATGCAGTTCTAGATTCATTGGTCTCTGTCTCCTCTTTCACCTTTCTCGCTTCTATCGCGGTCTCTGTCTCCTCGATCTCCTTTTCCTTCACCTTTTGACTTGGGTGGCCCCTTCTTCTTCACTGTCAATCTGGAACCATCTTCAAAAGGCCAACTATTCAAAGCTCGGATGGCCTCACACAGAGCATAACCCAAAGCTCAAGTGATGAAGCTGCTTTGAACACAGGTAACACTGGTAACCTATGCAATTGCTCGATGATTCTTTCATGTGTCCCCACACTGCTAACATCTGCTAATATATCGAGCCGCTGAAATGAAGAGCCTTACACAGTTGCACAAGTCTTGTCTTACGTACGCAAAAGGGGAGCTACTCGTGTCAACTTTTGTGTTTCCGGGCATACATTGCGACGCACCTTCTCAGCAGCCTCGGCATTCATGTAATTGATGAAACCAATGCCTGTACACTTTCCGGTGTCTTTGTCCAGCAGAGCTGTAGCCTAAGGCGAATCTAACCAAAAAAAGGCAAGAAAGGCAAGCCTACGGGAACATGTTCCCAATTCCCTGTCAATCTGGATGGATCTCAGATCTCTAACCACATTCTGAAGACTTTGAACTTAGTTCTGCAGTCTCTAACCAACTTAGCGCTGCTTTGTTCTGCTTGTTGCATCGTGCCAAAAGCTTGAACCGCCAAGTTCCAAGTGGCTCCCCTTGGAGCAATCGGCCCAAAGGCGGAGAAAATCTGATACATCTCCAGGTTTGTGGTATCAGGGGGCAGCCCGCCCACAAACAGCCTTGGAATGGATAACATGTCCTTTCTTCCACGTACGCATGTGTATATTTATATGTGTGTGTATGTGCGTGTGCATATCATACATCTGAATATATACCTCTAACACGTCAAACCAAGGGTGGCACAAACAAGCAACTATGTGTTGTCAAGAATTCACCTCTCTTGCAAATACGGCCGCAAATGACCTTGCTGGGAGACCAACAGATTTGACCATAGATGCGCCATCTATATCGTGAAATAGTGTGAAGATTGGCATCTCTTTTGGCTTACAGTAAGTTGTGCTGAAACAGTGCCATCTGTTTTGCGCCCCAACACCCCCAGAGTTACAAAGTTTAGAGGCAGAGGACAAGAAAAGGTATGGCCAATGGCCACAAAGTGCTAAACTTGCAACTAGGGGCTAGATAGTGTTCCCCAAAAGGACTTTTCTCAGCGGCATCTGGTCTGCACTTAGTATGTCAACGTATGTATATGCGCGTGCCTCTCTGTGTGGGTGTGTCCGTTGCTAAGGGGGACCCCCAAACTTTGAAGACTGGCAAAAGTTGGAAGTAAGATGTAGCTGGTAGCTTAAGGAAGCTACCACATCAAAAGAAAAATAGAGAAACAGAAAGAAAGCTGCCAGCCGAAGAACGGATCTTTACTTCAACTAACTCCCTCCCTCCCTTCCTCCCTGCCATTCCTGATCGTTTCTTTTGCTCTTGCCTTTCCTCTTCCTCCTCTTCATTCCTGTTTCTCACTCCTTCTCCTCTTCCTTTGTCCCTTCCCTTTCCTCCCTTCACTTCCTATCACACCTGCAAACCAGCGCCTCCACAAGGGCAGCGGAACAGGCCGGTTACACAAAATAAGGAAGACACTGCAAGGGATCGGATTCTTCAGCGAAACTTTGAGGGAGGGAGAAGCTTCCCATAGTTCCTAGAAGTTTTTGAGGAAAGCAACCTAAGAAACACAAAGAGCTCTAAACGGACTGAAGTTCACTTTCTGTTTGTATGTGCTTTGCCCGCACAAAGGAATCATGACCCGCGTGCTCTTCAATTTCAACTACAGTAGTTACTTCAGGACCTCTGGCAGCCTCACCTCCTAAACGAACCATCAGAATTGCTCGGTCCTTTAAAAACTCAAACTTGCAATAGACACTATGGACTACAAGGCTTTCTTGAAACCGCGTCGTTCATGAGATAAGTTTGTTGGACTTTGCTGAAGTATCAGCCTCTTAACAACTTGTCCTTCGCTTTCCTTCGTTTCTTGTTTGCCATGCTATTCTTTCCTTTTGGTCTCACTTTACCACTTGTCAGCCCTTGAGAGGCTTTTGAACAACTAGTGCAACTAATGGGGAAAAACAATGCAAACCCTAGAAAAGGTTTGCAATCAATTTTTTGGTCAAGAGTCTACATTACTTGAACAATGCTTGACAATTGTGGTGAGGCTGGCAAGGTGTGTCGTCGAGGCACGTGTTGTCGTCGTTGTTCCATTTGCCACCTGGAACCACTTGTGCCGAGACCACCGCGCGCACCAGGCCCCTGGCCTCTTTCGGTGCGCCAAAGCCCTTTCCGTAGCCTTTGCCTCAGTACCAAAACTTAGAAATAGTTGAAAACACCATGAATGGTTAAAACAGGTTAAATCATGTTAAAGCACGGTTTCATAAACCTTGAAGGCTTCATGAACACATTCTAGAGGCGTTTGGTTGAGCCCAAACACAAATGTGTCTCTTTACTCGGAACAGCGCCCGCTAGAAGAATCAATCAATTATGAATTGTGTAAGAAGTGATGTCATTGTATGAATTGTATGACTGTAAGAACACACATTATCGCCTACTCATTCGTCTAACCGCCAAACACTGCCGCCTATCAGAACAGGGCTTTCAAAGTGCATCGGGAAAAGCAAATTTGCATATCTCCAACTGTTCTAGTGGCACTGGGCTTAGAATCCGTTCTTGGTGGTAAACAGTCACTCAAAACTTGCCATGTTTTCCACTGTGTTGCCATAATCGTAACCTTTGCCGAAGTCCATGGGGCCCATGGGATAGGGCATGGGCATCCATGGCATGGGCCCCCACATCATCCAGTCGCCTTTGTACCAGCCTTTCATGGCTTCACGGCCTTCTGCACCTATCTTAGGCGATGTGGCTTGAGCCAAAGGAGGTGCGATGCGCTAAGATGCAACGGACCAATGGAGCTTCTTCCCTTCCTTGCACTTAGCCGAGATCATTGTTCTTGTCAACCAAGCTGGGCAAGCTTCGCCACGCGCATCACCAGGGTTCGGGAGGTCTGAAAATCTCTATCCACATGGAGTGCGCATCATGAAAAAGAAGTCAACCTTTGAATTCATTCAAACATTGACATCAAGAAGTCTCAGATTTGTTGGACCCATTGTCGGTTGAACTAAACACATCTTGAGACAGTTCTTCAGGACGTGATGAAGTCACGGAGTCCTTGAATACAAACGCATTTTAGCACAAGGAACAATTTGGCTAAACGGCTTAACTATGCTCATACTCTAAAACGCAGCTCCTGTCAACACCTTTTGGACATTTTGAAGTCACCGCGCACAAGTTTAAAAGCTTCACCTGAGCAGGTGCCCCGAGCTTTGCAACATCGCCAGCAAGCGCAGCAAGGGCGGGCTTTCACGAGCCACGTGGAAGCTCTCAAATACGGTCCTCACATGTAAACATGACAAAGGGGTGTTTGCCCAAACAGGCTCAACATAGGCACCTTGAAGAAATTCTCAGCAATGGTATGCAATTATCAATTATGTTCTTTACGTACATTCGTAGGGGATACATACGCAGTCTAAATACACAACTTTAAGACTAAGAATTCTGTTATCGGAACGATCAATCTGAAAATGTATGGGAAGCCAAACGCTGAGTCATGGAGTTTCTATGGTCAAACACCAAGCCGCTTGATGAGCTTCATGTCTCTGTCATGGCCCGTGGCCACAAGCACTATGACAACACGTTCCAAAAGCAATGCCAAAGCCTCTGGTGCCTCCCCCTGGCCATTGCCATTGCGTCACAAAACAGTTCTTACATGTTCTTACCGCCCTACCTCAGAAATGAAAGGAGACATTCTATTTATATTTATATATCTCTTGTTTCTAATAGCAAACATTGTTCCTAGTAGTAAGGCCAGGAGCCCCTAGTAGCATCCTTGCTCCTAGTAGCGATGCCCTTTGTCCTTCTTTCTGAAACTTGAGCAACACATGAACGACAAATGCACAAATCGTACCCCAATACACTTTCCGCTGTGCCGCGTAATCACTTCGAACGGATTTCAAACGTCGTATATCGTCGCTTTATGCCGTGGTGGCCTCTGGGGGCGGATGCGCAGCAGTCCTCATTTTCCAGAATGCAAGTTGATTTCTGCCAGGTTGGAGACCATCGCTATTGGGGTGGCCATCGCTAGTAGGGTCCCTGAAGGGCGCATAGTGGTCTCACCGAGAATCAAGCACGGTACTTCTTCTCTCGGTTCAGGAAACTGCTTCTGCAAGGCTTCCAGCATGTTCTGATCACAGACATTTGCATGCTCTCTTGCTGAGAGATTTTTCTCTAAATAGAACAAGGGCAAGAAAGAAAGAAAAAATAAAAATAAAGAAACACAATTAAACATAAACAATGTCTGAAGGTGTACGGACGTGCACGGAAGAACAAAACACGTGACAAAGGCACCTCTATGGAAGAAAAGAGCAACTCCCGGGCCTTGAGGACTGCATGAAATTTCTCCAGACCTTTCCTGTCATCGGTCCTAACGAGACAAAGCTATCAAAACGAAACGATACTGCAAGCTCGCCTCCTCAGATCATGGAAGCGCAAGCAGCAAGAGGAGGAAAGGCAAAACTACATACTTTGCCTCAGGCCCTTCGACAACGGATAGAATAAGGAGACAAAGGTGGATGAAGGAAACCCCAAAACTCTTCCCTTGTCCTCTACATTGACTTCAAGAGATCAAAGCTGGAAAGAACATGCATGTGGCACCAGTCCTTTCATGTGTTCGGTGGATCGCCTCCATAATGTCATATGCCACCTTCAAGGCCTATGACTTCGATGAAATGCCCCAATCCACAATTGAACGCAGCTCAAGCTGACAAACTGCTTGCCTCCTGGTCTTCAAGTGCGTCAGTTACATCTGCCACTGCGGTCAGGAGCACTTCTTTCGCACTTGGCCAATCGCACAGTGCCATCCTGCCCCAGCACTGGTGAGTCACATGTGCAACGCACAAACATATACTACCCGTTTACCCTTGTTCTTTGCAACCGCTGTCAGGCATTCCAGTCCTCAACTTGTCAACCTCTTGGAGAAATGTGTTCGTTTAAGTTTATCTTTCACCAAGCAAAACGCACTGCAGGTCAGTGTCCTGAGAGCCGCTTCAGCTGCTTTGGTAGAGGCATCCCAGAAAGCTGTAGCCCTAGCTCCCTGGCGGAGAAGTGTGGCAGTTCATCACAAGAAAGTGTCAATAAAGGATACCAACAGTTTCCCAGCTATAAAGTACAAAGCTGTTCTGACTGTCGTGATTGAAAAGGAGTAATTACAACTAGCGGTGTCCATATCCTAATTTGAGCCCAGTAACTTGGGATAGTTCGTGTGCAACATTGTGCCACCATTCAACGTTCCTCCATTTCTAGGAATCGTTAAACGTCGAGCCGTGCCTTGGTCAATGACAAATAGTGAGCTGCCTGCTCGGCAGCTGCTTTGGCTGCGTTGGTCTGCCCACTACCTGAGACCAACACTTGAACCGTGGGAGCGCAAATGGCTCGAGAGCTTGAATCAAAGCTACCAAAGTCTCTCCAGAAAAAGATGCTTTATTGAATTTGTGCGCAACAAACTGCGCTGCACAGGGTCCAAAACCTATCCACCTTATAATCCTTATATAATATTCGTAACTATTCCACATGGCAACCCGTGTTCCCAAGATTCGAAGCCTGTTGGTCACCGGTCACCCTCGGAATGCTCTATGCCTGGGTGCTGTCTTCAAGTTGCGCAAGGTGCGAGAAAGCTTTGCTCAGTGCCAAATTCACCTGAGGACCTTAGTGGGCAATGTGCCAAAAGCGGGACTGCTAGCATGGGGCACAGCAATTTTGCACTCAGGAGCGTCTTTCATGCTTGGCAGCTAAGGCGCTCCCCGGAAGTTGCGATCGAAGCTGGTCGATTCGCATCTTTGCAAGTTGTTTCATGTTTGCGGCCTGCAAGTATGAATAATTGTGAGCTGAAGTTGGTCCGTTGCCAATGCATTTTGACGAAACAAGGCCTCATCAACGTTGTATCCTGCCTGTCGCAACAGCTTGAGGAGACAAATGCAGCAAAGGCTGATTGCAAATGTTAAGCAAACATGTTCAATTAACATTTTGCCTTCAGGGAAAATAGAGGGGAACAAAAAGCTACTAGTAACAAAGGGCATCGCTACTACTAGTAGCTCCTGGCCTTACTACTAGTAGCACGAAGCTACTATTTCTTTCCCAATGCAACCGCACAGCACGCCACGCAGAAACCCCTGTCGCTTCACAAGACTATCGATTTGCCTTCAAATACACACCGGCGGCAACTTTTCGAAAGTGAACCGGTTTTTCTTGAGTTCAGTTTCTCAAAGAATCATTAGAGTAGGTACTTTGGCTAGAATTAAATTTTGGAGGGGGTGCTCTCTTGATGCGTGTTCACTGCTTGTGGAGGGCCTACTGCACAGTTCTGAGGAGGACAGGAATCCAAGGGGGAGGTACAACTCTTTAAACAAGGAACGCCGCACAAAATGCTATGGACCACACATTTCAAGGTCTACCGCCAATTCCGCCAACTATCTCGGTCAACTAGAACAATACCACCCGATCCTTGAAACTAATTGAATGAGCACCTGGGGACTACTAGGGACCTGTCCATGGGCTTGCCAGATCTACTACAATACATCCACATATGCCATGTTAGCACCACTAGCATCCACTAGCAACTTTGCCGAGCTTCTCTTGCCAAGAAAATGCTCTGGGAAAAGTTGCTTGTCACAAGGGCAGCTAATATGTCCACCCCATTCCTACCCTTGTACAAAGCCACTCGCTGGTGGCGCAAATCTATGGCTATTGTTTGTATCATGAGCCTGCTTGGGCTTGTCAATGTCTTTTTTTGATCTCCTTGGGCTCTGCTGGAACAACAAGGTCAGCAAAGGCAAACAAAGTCAGTCGCAGCCATGGGGGGCCTGAGGAAGGAAGAACAAAAGCTAGTAAACACCAATATCAATCAATCAATATATATATATATATTTATCCTATTACCTGTAACAGTGGATGATCATGGTTAATAAAGGCCTTTCTCTAAAACAGTGTTAATTGTTTACTGACAGTTAGAGGTAACAGGACAGACGCCACATATATATATATATATCTATATCAATGCAGGTCGTAGTCAGAGGGACAAAGTACAAATACTAAGACGTCACCCGAATCGACCCGCAATTATGCTTCCAGCAAACCAGGAGCAAAAGCTCTGATATTACGATTTGCATTTTCTGCATCACGAGCTCATCCAACATTGTCTCCACCGCCCCCAAATTGCCAAACAAACAAAAAATGCACGTGTTTTTTTAAAATAAGATCTGCGTAGACATGACCTGGCAAACACCAGCACCAGCATCCGACAAGCACCGCCCGTCCAAAGTCCAAAAGCTTGCACAGCCAGCTCATAGCACCAGCACCAGTCTTCAAAACATTCTCAGTACCTGTTATTTTACGGAACCTACTAGCGATGGCCTCCAACATATATGCTCGCAGGACCGCGATTCTCTCAAAGGCTAGTGTATGCGACATCTTCCAATGAAGGCCGGGTGGGGCCAGAATGGAGTATGGCTAGGGCCCTGCTAGTGGTCGCAGGTCCGTCCGGAAAACTCTGGACTCGGTCTCACATTGACATAAAGGCTGCTAGGGCATTTTCTGGCGTGCGCCAAGGCAACAAAGCATGGTGTATGTGCAGGACAACCCGTGGGTGACACGAGCAAATGTAGTTCACGCCAGCCTCCAGGACAGCTATGTTGGCGTTAGCCGACTTGTTGCCCTTTCCTGCCCATGACTCGACATCCTTCAACTGGTTGTTAAGCAGCATCTTCTCCTTACAACTTGGTCAATTCACCCCATCAATTGTGCACTCTTTGCGTCAATACTTCTAACATCTGTTCACAGAGCGCTCCACAAAAACATGTCGAAAACTACAGAAAACAAAAGGACTGGGTTGTGGGCATGGACATCAACAATCAACTGTCACTCAATTAACTTCGACATGTGCAAATTTGCAGTATTTTGTCCCTAGGAATTACCTCCTAGGCATAAGCTTTTCACACTTTCCTTGAAACATATCCTAAAGCAGTGGGGCAATATTGTTCCAGCAGTGCCCGGGCCCAGGACATCCTACCAGCGAAATCTCACACTTGGTGAAACCATGCGAAACCAGCGAAATGACACGCAAACCTCCTTTTCATCTTCTCCTTTATTTATGCCATCGGCTTGGCGTTGGTCCCTGATGCTCACTTTATTTTGCAGCTTTCGACTTCGGTGGCTTTTTCATCGAGCCTACTACTTCCACTGCTTTTGACAAAACTCTCCAAGGGAAGCAACATCTCAAGGAAGACATGTTTGCTTCGCTGGCCTTTCTTTCCCCTTAGTGCAGTAGAGTAGTTTCTGGGACGGATACTCAGTACTAAGTACTGAGATTGAATACCTCGAAATACGTTCCAGAGAGAACATCTCAAGATCTTTCCCCCAAGAGTCAATTTCTGATAAGCCAAAATTTCTGGCACTTTCTTCCCCTTCGTTCCAGTTCTTGTTCTGTTTTACAAGAGGCCCTCTGCTCATCGGCCCATAGCGGTGCAAAGACTTCTGGGCTTTGGCCACCGAGCATTGCCCGTGGCTCCAGCTGCAGCTGCTTGAAATCGACGCCGGTGAAACCTGGCCCAATGTCCTAGTAGCGATGCCCTTTGCTCCTAGCAACGAACATTGCTCCTAGCAGCTAGAAAATCAGCACGACTTGTGAATCTTGTCTTACATTGAGTCAGAACACGTCAAGATGCTACTGCGGTTCATGCCAGAGTCACCATCCATGGGTTGCTGCCACCGAAGCAACAAATGACACTCTTTGGACCAATCTGCTTTGCTTGCGACTGTGCTCAAGATCTGATTTCCAGGATTGTTGAGGCCACTAGGAATATGTATGCAGATTCTAGCCGCCTTGCGTCTGGAAGATTGACAAGAGTGATAAAGTGTATGTCCGTGACAGGCTCACCAAAAATTTGAACAGGGGTGTGCTTTCATGCCTGTGCCTACAATCATGTCGCCTATTCAGACTGATTGTCACGTGGGATCACGTGGGTATTTTGGGAGTGTAGACTCAATGTAGACATAACAGGCTGTTACCAACTAAGGACATTGATATGTGAGCATTACACCGAAGACAACCAACAGCCTTTGCGGAACCGCCCATGTGCCCTCATCCCTCAACACGCTTCAGGTGCCATCGTACTCGATCGTACCCGATCGTACCTTCGTAAGCTGCCAGTGTCCTCTGTGTCCCCAAGCCAAAGGGAGCTTCAGGTGGCTGATGGAGCTTATGCTGCCACGGTGTCCCCAACATGCCACAAATCCCTGAGATGGGTGCATCGCACTGGGTGCCACAAAGGTCTAAAGTCTAGACAAAAGCAAGGTCAAAAAGCAAACGACAACAGCGCATGATTCATAATGAAAAAACATGCAAAAAATTACCCCTTACTCTTAGAGTACCTGACACAATGAGTTAAAAGGTCCTTCTTCTTGCTTCCAGAAGCCGGAATCCTAAGCCGAATCATAGATAGACGAAATATTAGCGCGCCTTCGAGCCACTCGGACCCCTTCCACCCCAAAACTCAGTGCTATGGACGAAACAATTCAAACCCTGGTGCCACAAATTCAACTGTAGCTTTGGGAGTAAGGGGTTCGTGAGTTCGTGACAGTCACTGACTCAGGGGGTTGAATATTTGGTCCAACTATCTTCCACACCCGTCGGTAAAGGGCTCTCAGCAATCTGAGGCGATCAAGTTGCTGCACTTGGCTTTCTGCTCATGCTCCACTTGCTCCTTTTGGGTTTGAACTTCTCGGAACCAATACCTATGCGCCCGACTGGCCAAGTGAAATGCAATCCTTGGCTACAAAAAAGGAAGCATAAACAAGCTGTTTTGGCAAAACTGCGTGATCAACGAGCCAAGATTCTCCTTGGTTGGATGGAAACAATCCCAGCCCGAAGTCCAAAGTCTCACGGACATTGAGATCTCTTCTCCAAAGAACCTTTTTGGCAAATTCTTCGACGCCAAAGAATCACCCAATTTGCCGAATGCCTTGCAATTTTTACGATTCCCATATGAGGTAGCACAGTTCCCACAGCTGGTGACATGTTGCCAGGGGGCACATATTGCAAATGGGGGTCATACGGAACTTCGCGGACGACCTCTCCACGAGAGAAGGAGAAGCGTGCCTTAGATCGAAGCGGCATGGTTTTTTGACAGCTTCTTTCTTTTCAAAGCTACTAGAAACAAGTGCATCGCTACTAGTAACAAGTGCCTTACTAGTAGTAACAAGAAGCTATTAGTAACAAGTGCCACGCTAGTAGTAACAAGTGCCTTACTAGTAGTAACAAGAAGCTATTAGTAACAAGTGCCACGCTAGTAGTAACAAGTGCCTTACTAGTAGTAACAAGAAGCTTTGCGTGCACTCTGTCTTTTCGCCCACGCGGGGAGGGGGGTAGGCCGCGGAGGTCGCTAGGTAGCTAGTAGCTTAATGTAGCTTACTTAAGCTACTAGGAACTGGACGCAGGATAGCTCGCGCTGATTTGGTTCCTGATTTTTTGGGAAACTTAACTAGTAGTGATGGCCTCCACCCAGCTTGCTAGGCAAATTACAGATGTGCAGGGTGAAGGTGAGGGGTGCAGTTTGGCAAATGTGCTGGCTCGGCCAAAAATGCTGGTCATTTCCTCAAAGGCCGAGTGGCTGTCCAAAAGAATGCCGGGGGAGGCTGGAGAAAACCCTTTCGACAGCTTCGCGTCTTGATGCGAAGGAAGGGGTCCTTGCTCGCACAATTCAAGTCAAGGTCTCAAAGCAGGTCATCACCAAGATCTCTTTGAGTCTTGAATTGAGTCTTCAAGTCTCTAAATGAAACTTTTCCCAAGTTGTCACCTGAGACCGGCCAAAGCTCATCCTGGTTGGCATCCCCAAAGGTGTCAGCACAAAGGATCGCTAACGCCTCTCTGCTTCGGACTTCCAAGAGGTGTGACATGTTGAAGGTCACATGTGACCAACAAGACCACGTGCCTTGTTGGATATCAACTCTGCACAATCAGGCGTGCCAGCTCTGTAGCTCTTTGGCAAACTGTAGCCTTGAGTCACTCCAGCATCCAGCTTTGTGGAAGATGATTCAAGTCAAACAAATGATCATGATGAACAACTGCTTTTTGATCTAAACCCTTTCCTGTACAGCTCTCAATTTACTGGTCAATCTGGGTGGAGGGACAAATGTTCAATTTGAGGCTTCAATGCCTGACTTGATATGCTTCACGCGTGCTCGCATGTCGCGCGAAAGTGAACCGCTTTACCCTTCCTCATCATTTCTTTTTCTCGGACTTTTTCTTTTTTAAACGACCTTTATATAGACTTTTTCCTTTACCTTTTTCTTTCTTCCTTTCCATCACAGTATGTTCAGTGCATTGTTTGCATTGTGCTACTCATTTTGCAAAGCTGCTGGACCCATACGTAGTGAGGATGGGATTTGGGCTTTCACACAGCTGGAGCTGCTCTATGCAGAGCGTATCCCAGTCTTGCACAAAACCTGAGAACGTCATGTTCTGGCCAAATCAGTCCAAAACACAAATGCAAAGATGTAGAACCTGCAATTACATCACAGGCCGCAGAAAGAAATGCACACGAATGAAGCCCACGGCGTCCAAGAGACGCATGTGGCTATCAATCTGAAAATAAAATTCCTCTCCTGAAGAATCAACAACAATTCAAAAGAATAAACTTAGGAAACTGCAGGAACCTCTTCTTCTATCTTTCATCTTTCCCCTATTTGCATGCCTTGTTCATCCTTTTTCCTTGTTACTCCTCTCCTTTGTAGAGTTGTTCTTGAATCAAAGCCCGGGCGAAGCACGGACCTTTCGCGTCACGATGTAAGAGGAAGCTGCAGCGGATCTGTCCACACCACTGGTCTCAGTGTTGCAGGTGAGAAAATGAAAACAGGCGCGAAAACAACAAACATAATGAAACATAACAGCAAACATAAAAAGACACAAACAAACTACTAGTAGCAAAGGGCCTTACTACTAGGAGCAAGGACGCTACTAGGGGCTCCTGGCCATACTACTACTGTAGGAGGACGAAGCTACTAGTAACAAAGTAACAACATGTGACTTTGCGAGTTTTGTGGCTTTCACCGAGATGGACCGAGAGGCCAAGATCAAGCAGGAAACTGTCTGTGTCTTCCTCAGACACCTGGCTCATTGTCTTCGTCCACCGAAAAGCAAGTGCATATGTGGAGACAGAACATTTGCCGCTTTACTAACTTGTTCATTCTTCAGAAAATATCTGAGAAAAAAGCGGACACACAGCAACACATGATTAATGCGAATTCATGAGCCTGGAAGCACACCCCAACAATGACTCGCTCTGGATGCTTTGCCTTGCTGAAGAGGTCCTAGTCCCCGCTCCATGCGCTTGGGCTTGGATGCTAAACCAAATGGCACATAGAATCGAGAGAATGTCACGATGTCACGTCTGCACATCTGGAACAAGCTGCTTCACTTTCACGGAGCGAAACAATGATTACAAAAAGTGAAACATGTTTCAAAGCAAAAAGCAAAACACAAATATAATCCCATCCTGGATGGTGTACTGGCACTGATTGTCCCGATAGCTCGCGATGGACACAAATATGCGTCCATGGAGTCCATGGGCCATGGCCACGTAGCGACCGGACGCTACTAGGAGCAAAGGGCATCGCTACTAGGAACAAGAAGCTACTAGGGGCTCCTGGCCATACTACTAGGAACAAGAAACAATACAAGCATTTTAAATGAGAGAGATGAGAGAAAGACAGAGAGAGAGAGAGGGAATGGATGCATTACATTCGCAATGCTTTGCTGCTTTGCGTGCCCGCCGAAAAATTACATTCTCATTGAGGTATTTTGGTGGGATCATGGTGTAAACAAACCATGAGTCAAAGGACTCTAAATAAAGGGACAGTCACAACATGCTCTTGTGAAACCAAGTCAAGCTATTCTGAGCTTTTCTAGCTTGGGGCTTCGCCAAATGCAACATTGCTCCAGAACTCCAAGCGCATGAACAACTACACAATGTTGTTGAGTCTAAGGTTGCCGTGGCACCTTGGCTGTCCTGTTTCGGATCCTGTTTCTTCCGTTGTCTTTTTTGAGTCTTTCCACTCCCCTTGGAGTGCGATGCTAAGCTCTGGCCGTCTCCGTACAAAATCATCACCCTCAGGGGAGCTTGTCATAGCAAGCAATTCCGAGTATTGCCACACCAAGGAGCGATGCTACAGTGCAGTACTTTTTGACAGTCTCAACTGTAGCCAAGCAGCTCCGTCTTTCTTCCTTCTCCTTGGGTGGCCCCTTCTTCCTTGGCAAGCCAGGTCACTAATTCCACTGCCTCTCATCATCTCTCATCAATACTATGCATCCAAGAAGCTTCACCGTAAGCCAAGTACCATCTGGGAAAGGAAAGCCATGAAGTCTTCGAATGGCCTCAGCAACTCAACCAGCAAAAGAATTGAAGGTTAGCTGAATAGAACAAAGTGGGCTGGCCGCCTGGCCTGCTCAGCGGAGCCGGACTCCAAATAATTGACAAAGCCAATGCCTAAACCGGAAGTCCAAACATCGCTGCGGCGGGCCCTACATGGAAACGTGCAAAAACCAGTCGCCTGTGCATTTGCCGGTGTCCTGCACAATAGAAAACGCAGGAGGTGCATCAAGTCACGACTAGGCCTAGTAGCGTCCTTGCTCCTTGTAGTAAGGCCAGGGGGCCAGGAGCCCTTAGTAGCTTCTTGTTACTAATTTAGTTGCCCGAACATGTCTGATGTTGGGCCAACCTGGATGATGAAGCATGCAAAGTAGTCGAAGCATATGGTGTTTTGCATCGCAACGTCAGCTCCAAGGAAAGTCCGCTCCTTGTCAACCCTCGCAGAGGCACCCCGAGGCGCAATGCGGCCAAAAGGTGAAAAAAGGACATACATCTCCAGGTCCGTCATGTCCTCGCAAGACTCCAATTCAAACTGTGAGCCTAAACACGACTAGCTGCTCTGTATACGGCCTCTCGCCCTTTCTACATTCGCTAATACAAAGTTGCAGTCACGTATATAGCCCCTGGTTCATCCCTCTCTCCTCAATATCAGGGTTGTAGCAGCCACCGTCGCAACCTCTTATTTACACATATCTAACCGTCAAACCGAGATGCCGATGGCAGGCCGCCAACGTAGAGGGTGTTCTCATCATTATCCTTAGGTGAAGGACCTACCAAGTGACACAACTCTGCGCAACAACAAAGACTATGACTACGAATTGTGATGGCAACAAACTTGAAAATAAATTAGTTCTAAAGAAGGGGCCTGTGCAGCCAAGGGTCCCATTTTGTGACTGGCAATGCGTTTGATGCAAGCAGGCCCCGAACTAGACCCTGGCAACATGTTACACGCAGGAGACACGCTTCGTAGATTCAAAATAGCACAAGTCTTAGGTGATTCTAGATCCATCTCTCTGGCATGTTGGGTGCCTTGGCATCCTTTGTGCCTTTTCCATAGCCCTTTCCATTGCCTGGAAAAAGTGCGTGCTCACCCGGCTCAAAGCTACGCACAGTCACGCAATTCTCTTGGCGTGTCTGAGCCACAGGCCATATCCATCATAGCCATAGCCATAGTTGCCATAGCCAGGCATGTCCCACCCTGGAGAAATCGAAGCAGCCAGCCCAAGGCAATAATCTTTCCAAGCGAGCAAAAGAATTCACCAAGGGCCCGCCGCCGTCTTTAATGCTCATGGTCCAAAATAGTTTGTTGTGAGGCTGTTGTCACACATAATGTTCACAAATGTTCACAGCTATGATTTATTTATACAATTCCCCTGGGAATTACGCCTCTAACCCATGTCCCCTTTTTATATAGATAGAATTTTTGACTTGGAGGGCACCCCTGAACTTCTATAGAATTGAAAAACACCCTCCCAGGTACCTCACTGCTATAAAATAGGGGACCTGGGTTAGGCGTGGCTGCATTTAGGCAAGATAGGCCTCTATAAAATGCCCATGGATCTCAAGTACTAGTGATGTCTGGAACCAAAGTTGATTTTATAGAAGGGTCATTTTATATAGTGAACAAAAAATACATTGAAACAGTTTGATACAATTTGTCTATTCTATAGAGAGTTCAGTGAATCATCTCGAACACGACAGACATATGATACGAGCAGTCGGTACGAGCAATCGATACGACAGGAATCGATGCGACAATCTCTGGTTGCAAACTATAAGCAATCAGTTCTTGCAAGGATAAATTTTCAGAGAAGAATTTAGTAAGGAGCCTTTACATAAAAGTGTTGAAATGAGGCCGTTTACATAAGAAGATTTAACAAACAGCAAACTGGCATTCAATTTGGAGAACCAAGGACAAGTACCAGAGCATACCAAAGCCCGGAGAAAAAAAACAATTAGGATTCTGCAGATTCTTTACTATATATAGTGTTCAAAAACCCTTTTGGGTTCATATTGTCTATTTGTCTATTCTATAGTGACCTCAGGACCATCAAGAGAAAATTACATCCCTGTCTAAATAAAGGTTGCAAACTCCAAAAGGGTACCCCCCTTAAACAAGTGTTGAAATGAGGTTGTTTACATAAATAGTTTAGTCAGCAGCGAACTGGCAACCACGGACAACTAGCGGAGTTTACCAGAGCAACCCGAAAGAACAAACCAGCAGCGGATATTTTTCAGGATTCTATTTAAGAGTGTGTTCAATCCTTTTCTCTCGGGTTGTTGCTTGTATAACATTGTTTTTCACGGTCAACCAATTTCATGGAGTTAACCAAAAATGTACATCCAGCCGATTTCTAGGGCACCACATCCTCCATAACATGACAATCTATTGCGACTCATTGGTTGCCACAATTTTTGTATAAAAATGTTTTCTCACGTTTATCAACTTGACTAAGTTACTAAAAAACAACATTGACTACACACAGATTTTTTGGGAACTACAACCTTTATAAAATTGCAATCTATTTTGTCTGGTTGATTTCCAAAAAGTTGAACTAGAGCCTATGGTGGGTGACAAGAATGCATCCACTATAAGTTCGATGTTGTTCACTTCGCGGGGTTTAAGGAGACCCCAATAGAAAATGATCGCAATGACCCCCCTGATGGGGAGCGCAAAGTTCTATGGAAGCCCCTCAACCATAAAACGGCACCACGGAGGGTCCCTAGGAGCCCTATTCTATAATGAACTAACTACATCTAACTACCGTCAATAAAGGCCGCTTTGTCCTCAGGTTGAAAAGAGTGAGCAGTCAATTATGAGCCCACCTGCCAGGTGAAGGTTGTCAGATTCTATCCGAGCTGTCCTCCCCTCGCTCAGCCGCGAGGGCTTGATTGCAGTGGGCAGTGCCGGGTGGGCAGCCCCGGGCCTCAACCGCGAGCGCTGGATCGCAGTGGGCGATGCCGGATCTGAGCCAGATAGATAGCCCGAGTTTTGCCCGATAGAATGCCAGAATATATGCCATGTGCCAGCAAGCATGCCAGAACGAATGCAAGAAAAAATGTCAACTGAACATGTGCAAGATAGAATGCCAGAATGCACGCCAAGCAGAGTGCCAGAATACATCCTAGAAAGAATGCCAGAAAATAGGCCAACTGGAGTGTCAGAAAAAAATCCAGATAGAATGTCGGAATATACGCCAGATATATATTATGCCAACATTTTGGCCAAATAGATTGCAACAATACATGCCAAAAGGCCAGAATATGTGCCAGATGGAATTCCTGAACATATGTCAGATAGAGTGCCAGAATGTATGCCAGACAGAATGCCAAATAGAATGCCAGAATATATCAAAAATAGACACTTTCTTGGCGATGTTGAGGCAATATAGCCGTCGGTTGTCAGCAGAGTAAAATGCAATGGTGGTGGTCACTCGAAGTAACGTATCTTCTCAAAAACTACAATTATAAACTAGATGCTGTCAAAACTACACTTGCTTGTATCAAGATTGACCCATCATCAACAACAACAACATTCAAACTCATTTCTTCTAGCCAACCTAAAAACCATCAAACTCTTTGTGTCCTTTAAAGAACCGCCAAAAGTTTTGGCAAAAGGTACTGTGGCCCTTAAAAGTGCCAATGACATAAACATATAAGCTACAGTCAATGTAAAACATTCCTTTCAATTCCAACTGCTTCCTAGGAGGCAACAATAAACACCGGACTTTGTCCTGTATAATAAATCTCTTTCCAGATTCAATTAAGTAAATGTTGAATTATGTTGAATTTGCTTTTCTTTCTTCGATCAATTAACACAACGATCAAAAGCTGTCCTAATCTTCAGGTCTGAGGTTTATTACGGCGAGAAACCAACAAACTGCGATGCACCAATTTTTGCCCCCTCATGTTTCACTAGGGGGAAGTTTATTGCCGCGACGTGAACATTAGCAATGAACCTTACTGGAACCCCTCGATCGGCCTGCACCATAATTGTAATCCACCCACGGAGGGCCATAGCCGCCATCCCACCTGTGCCAGGTGGCTGTGCCACCAAGGGTAATTCAAACAGCTGGATGTTGGTGGGGCAAGGCGGTGAGTCTTTATAACGATGGGAATAAACCAATGTGCAAAAGACACCCCTGTATGTACTTGCGTCTTCTGCAATGGATTTTTTACTTTGACAAAGAAGCCATCCTGATCCTTGCAGAAGAGTCACCCCTTCATGGGTCTGTTGCGGCTCAGTGCGTTTGAGTCACTTACGGCAGCAAAAATGGAAGTGCGGAGATGTCACCAACAA